GTGCAGGCAGAAGTTTTGTCAGGGCTTCTCTACAAACTAAAGAATTCACCTCCTGACAGGTAAAACAAAAAATAATCAAAAACCTCATTTTTTTATATACGTAGTAGATTAGTGTGTTAATTTTACATTTAGCACATAAAAAAGGTTACAAAATGTGGCAGATATGCATGCCTTGTAGCAGAACAAACGAACGAAACTGAAACATTTTCGAGCTCAAATGTCGTCGGAGTAGTTGACGTAACAGCTCAAACGGAAAACTCGGTTCTCCGACATTTTCCCGGCGTCGACGAATATCTTTACGTCTCGGGTTTAGCCGTCTCCAAAGCTCAAAGGTCTCTCTCTTCGCCCTTCTCTTTCCCCTTCTTTGTTGAGAAAGTTTATTGTATTCAAGTCTTCTTGCATCAACAGGAGAAAGAAGATGGCAAGTACATTGTTAAAAGCATGTGATGTTTTATGTTATTTGTGGGGTTTCAAGCTTCTTGCTTTAAGAGCTTATGAAGACGACGCAGCCGCTAGAAATCTCTATTCAAACGCCGGTTACAACGTTGTCGCTGCTGACCCACCGTGGACCTCTAGTTGGATTGGCAGAAAACGCCGCGTTCTTATGACCAAACGCATTTCTTAGGCGTTTTTTTTCGGGTCTTGTGTTTCTTGATGTATATTTATTTGCCTTAGCCGTGATAGGGGTTGTTCAAAATAGCTTGGACCGACCAATACAGAGACAGTAACTAAAAACTGAAATTACAGACCATCAAGATTTTCAAGAAACGAAAGCACCTAATAAATTATCCAGACATCTCAATCTTCTCTACACAAAAGGGTTATAACTAAACGAAACCACCACATGTTTCTACATCTGCGAGGGACAAAAGCGGCAGAGACAGAGAGACTTTCCCTAAACAAACGAAACAAAAGCCGATCGTACCTATTGACATTCGATAACCTGACAATGCTCCTAAGAGCAAACAAAAACAGTGTCAGTGGACAGTCACACAGGAGGTCTGGTCAAGTGCGACATCGCCTTCCTGATATCCAGAGACGGGAGTTCTAATCCTGGGACATGATTGCTTCCTGGTGCCATCCAGAGACCTCCATTATGAGGAGGCATCAGCACCGGCGACTGACTGTTGTTTCCTTGTGAAGTTTCTTGCTTCTTCTTCACAAATTCAAAGAACTCAGCAACCTGGCGTGCGTATCTTTAACAATACCAAGCAAGAATATATGTGTTAGATTCAGGATTTGAGTTGGTTTTGGTGACATAACACTACTTTGAACTTACTGTCTTTTAGCTTCAATATCGTGGGTGAAGTCGATATTGGGTTCACAGTCCAAAACCAGAGCAGGGACCTGTTAAAACCAATGAACCATTCAGCGGCAAAATCTATCATCAGACTTTAAGCACAAAAATGCAAAACATGAAATAACTCTACCTTCTGAATACTAGAATGCATATGATTTCCTTCCAAGTAAAAGACGCGGTCTTTTATATCAGGATGCAGAGTGTTGTCCATGTGTAAAGACGGTTTACTAACAGACAATACCCCGTGGTCTCCACTCTCAAAGGGGAGGAGCCAGCTCTCATGCTTCTCGTGCAGATCCTGAAGGTATTTCAGCGAGACTCCGCCTTCTTCTGCTCGTTTCCTTAGCATCATTCGTTTATGGCAAGTGTCGGGACTCGCCCTCAAGTATATAAACCCATCAGGAACAAGTCCAGGTAAAGCAGAGACGACCGGATCAAACCAAGAGTCATAGATGCTTATCTCCATCTCGCTCATCCATTTCGCTTCATGAACCGCTCGCACAAACACCTGAAGTTCCACAAAAATTTAGTTTGCAATCACAAGCTTTTAAAACTACTATCATTATATCAAAATAAAATCCTCCAAATTACCATTCTGTCACTGAAGACACTCCGTTCCATCAACCTGAGAGGTTTAACTCCAGAAGCAGACTCTTTCTCCTGCATCAGGCGAGTGACGAACACATAGTTCTGGAAAGTATAAGCATACCTCTGAGGCTCAGAGTAGAAAGCATCCAATATATTGAAATGGTCAGGTCCAATATCTTGCCACTTAGCAACTGGCTCAGGAACAATCTCAACAAGGTCACGTAGCTCAATGGTTTCATTCGCTATTCTCTGAAGAAAAGTCGATTTACCAACACTAATGTTCCCTTCAACACAGAAAGTCAAACGTTTCTTCGCATTCAAACTAGGGTCAGAACCAGAATCCTTAAGCTCATCATCTACACTCTCTTTGATAAACGTTGTTATACTCTCCGCATGGTTTCTATGTATAATCCCAACAGAGCTACGAAGATAATCAACCATCTTATGACTTGCTTTCCAGAACTGAGAAATTGAAAGAAAGAAAAAAACATTCGATTAATCTCACAAATCCCTAACAACATTATCCTAAAAGCTACAGTGAAAATTGAAAGTACCTTATCTTTGTAGAGTTTCTTAAGCTCAGCAACATCTCCAATTCCATTATCAACAAGCTTTCTCTGATTCCTTAAACCCACTCCAGGAATCTTAAGCAAATCTGGATTACCAGCTAACTCACCACGATTTCTCCGGCTCATCCTCACCGGTTTTTCATCTTTCTCACCGTCGTCGTCATCTTCACCGTCAGAGCCTTCAACGACTGCTCCACCAGCAGCATTAACAGTGCTTGAACCACCACCATTAGACTCAGAGTAGAACAAAGAACGCCACGACCCGCTTCGACCAACCCAAGCCCGGCTCGTACTACGGATTCTACCGTCGATTTCGCACCGGCAAGATGGATAACAAGCGGTGGAGAATCGGAGCGACCTCACCGGTTTTCTGAGAAAAGGGTTTCTCTGTAAGTAAGCAGAGAAGACGGTGCTACCTCCGGTAGAAATTGAAGCTGTCTTCATCGGCATAGCTGAAGTAGAGAAAGGTTTGGCCGGTGAGGAAGAGAGAAAAGTAGGACTGACGAAAGGTTGAAGAGAGATAAAACCGGCGGCGAAAGAGCTAACCGGAGTAGAGAGAACAGGGTTTGAAACAGTAGAACTCTTGCACAGAATCTTCTGCATCGTTTTTACCTTTACCGGAGCATTTCACATAAGTGAGGTTTTGTCAGGCGGAGAGGGAAAATCGAGAAACCCTAATTTTGTTTCAGTGAGGGAAAACGAAACGATAGCGAAAGGGGAAGAAAGAGAGCTTTTGGTGGGATTGGGGTTTTGGTTTGGGCGCAAAGACAGAGGAGGAAGAGAAGAGAGAAATTAGCGTTTTAGGGT